CGAGTGAACTGTGACCATATATATCTTATCATATATTTTAAATCTTATTGATTTATGATGTGCTCGAGTGGACTTAGTCCATATACTCCATTTATTGATGGGCGAACGAATGAGATTTGATTGTCAGTCTGCTTTAGAAGGCAAAAGTCAAGTCTTGTCTGAAAAAAGTAGGGTTCTCGAGAAACTCTTAGATTTCTTTCCGCTTCTGTACAAACCCGGAAGAAAATTTAGTAGTAATTTAATCCCTTTTCATATTATAGTAATGAAATGGGTTCACTATTTTATTCAAATAGGGTTCAAGTCTTAAAGTGGCTGCCTTAGATTTCTTCTTAAGAGAATGTAAACCAGCTTTCCATAATAACTATCAAGGAGACAGTTTAAAGGGCAATTTAAAGTGATTAAAAGAAAGATTCTTAGGTTACAAAGTCAAGTTACGTTCAAAATATAAACAAACAACAATGATAATATGAATGTAAACTGTGCCACAAGAAAGATAGATGTTTTTCAATAATAATCTTAGTCTTTTCGGAGATATGAGAAGATATAAATGTAACGATCGAACTTTTTCCTTAAAAAATTAGACTGTTATTACATTGTATGTCATAACTGAATCAAGTAAAAAGATATCTAAAAACGTCTTATCTTTAAAATTGTCACGGACTTAAATAAGCATAAACTTCGAAAACATAGTTGACACAAGGGTTATCATTCTCCTAAGGAGAAGTTGGTGCTACTAGTTGTTCATGAACAAGTATAATATTAATGTAACGACTCAAGCTCACTACTAGCAGATAACGTCCTCTTTGGGCTTTCCCTTTCTGGATTCTCCTCGAAGTTTTTAAAACGCATCTACTAGGGAGAGGTTTCCACACCCTTATAAAGAATGCTTCATTCTCCTCCCCAACCGATGTGGGATCTCACAATCCACCCCCTTCGGGGCCCAACGTCCTTGCTGCCACACCGCCTCTTGTCCACCCCCTTCGAGACTCAACCCCCTCGCCGGCACATCACCCAATGTCTAGCTCTGATACCATTTTTAAAATCTTGAGGAGCAACCCGAAAGAGAAAGCCTAAAGAGGACAATATCTGCTAGCGGTGGGCTTAGGCCGTCACAATTAATGTGTCCTATCTACAAAGAACTACAAATCCTTCCTCCATCTCTTCATTACTTGCCCATTTCCCAATCATTTTGGAAGTCTATTCTCATGTCTTTTAAACGGCACCTAGCACAGCCAGAAGACATGATCACATTACTTGGAAGTAGTCCTCATTGGTCACCCTACTTGGAAGTAGTCCTCATTGGTCACCCTTTAAACAAGGAAAAGGAAGTCTAACGGAATTGTTTTATCAAAGCCTTTCTTTGGCTTATATGGTTGGAATCCACCATTTTCATGGTTTTTGTAATCATTCACTATATATTTGGTCTCTTATTGTGAGATCTCATATCGGTTGAGGAGGAGAACGAAACATTCTTTATAAGAGACCTCTAATGTATTTTAAAAAACTTTGAGGGAAAACCCGGAAGGAAAACCCCAAAGAGAACAATATCGGCTAGCAGTGGGCTTGGGCGGTTACACTCTTGATCCAAATTTTCCTCTCTCTAACTCCTACAACCTCACATCTCTTATTGTCCATTGGAAGTAATCTTATTGTAATTCCTTCAGCAAATAGTTTGCCTTCTTTTGTAATTTCATGTTATGAATGAAATGCAGGAATCCATGTTTCTCATAAAAATAAAAAGTAAATCCTTTTAGAATGTACCTATGTTCTGTCAACACTTTGATGGCATTTAGGCTGTTCACAATACAGTTAAGTAGAACAAGGAATCACCACATTAAATACAAATATAGAAGCAATCATCTAAAAGGATGAGAAATTCGCGATTCGCTACATGGATCTAGCAGATTATTCTCACAGACAATCTTTTAGGATCTGATGTTAAAAGAAGTTCAGATATTTATCAATAAACTGGCAGGCTATTGAGTAATCAAAAACAAAAACTTTAAATTGTACTAACTTCAAGAGACGATCCTTGCAGACTCTCCCACAGCATCCTCCATTCTAGAATACCATTCGCCAACTCTTGTATTCTCTACCATATCTATTCCAGATTGAAGGTGTCGGATTGGTCTCAAGACGCCAAAGACGGCAAGATCAGCTAAATTAGGATTTGGTCCACCTATCGAGAGACAAATTCGTCGTAAAATTGAACTATTTTTCTCAAATACCTTTAGCTTAAACCTAAAAAACCGAACAGAATCGTGAATGAAGTTTAAGCATACCAAGAAACTGACGGTCTTTCAGTGCTTCCACCCATGTTTCTGCAGCTCCATATAAGGCTTTTCGTTCATCAACGATGTTATGTTTTTCTTTCAATTTCTTGGAAACAAAATACATGGCTGTAGCCCCACCATACTTAGCTATTATCCTTTGAGTGAAACTAAAATTTCCTGCACCATATTAAAGTTATACAGACAAGTCAGGAGCTCATGAATATATGTGATTGCTTCAACAACAAGAACAACAAAAACAACAAAAAACAAACAAAAAAACATGTTGAGGATGTTTTCTTATGAATATAATAATTGTAAAAAGGTAATCCAAATTATAAAGTGAATATTCAAAACTTGGCTTGGACTTTGAAAACATTTGAAAAAAGTAAAAAGGAAATAAACCCACAAGTGATGATACGTTTAACAGCTTAACGTTTCAAAACCAAAAATCAAATTGTTATCAAACAGGGCCCTAGAAACCGTCTCCAGCTCATATATAATTCAAAAAACTAAGGGGGAAAAAAAAAGAACGGCTCATAAATTGACTTACTATCATACCATGTGTAGTTATGTAGTTGAAAGACTCGAGAGCCTCCTTGTAATTTCTGTAAATGTTTGGGGATAAAACGTGCACCAGGTGATTGTCCACCCATCTACATAATATATGCTCATCAATCAGTTACATATGATACACAAAAATGTCGAAAGACAAATTAGTCAGTCAAATTCTTTGGCAATGAAGACGCTGGTTTCCCTTAAAGTCTCAATTGGTTCCATATAATAGCTGCTTGTACGCAAGTATAGAGCCTCGAGATGTAAAAAAAAAAAAAAAAAAAAAAAAAAAAGGTATACCCAAGCCACTTCCTCTCCTCCTCTGAGTCCGAGGTAGAATTCTCTGGATGAATTCTTTTGTACAACTTATCAATTATATCTGTACAAGAACAAGCAAGACAGGCCCCGATCATCAACATCTACTCTAATTGAAGACATATATATATATATATATATATATATATATATATATATATATATATATATATGTATGTATGTATGTATGTATGTATGTATGTATGTATGTATGTATTCTCCATTTTCCAAGTAATTACAGATTTGACTGAACCTGTAGAATCCACCATTTGAACACCATCAACCATCAGAATTGGAACCTTCTTGTATTCAGACCACTTAATCTCCTTTTTGAATATGGGATTCACCTCCACAACTTTATAAGGAACATTGTAGTAATCCAAGAATGCTGGAGAAAAGGAAAATCAACAGAAATTTTAAGGACCTAGAAGGGAAAAATGGCATAGAATTGCAACTTCACGACAAGAATTCTAGCTTCAGCTCATAGGTAACAGTAATATATGGCCTATTGTCCAGTCCTTAATCCACCTTCTCTATTTTCCTTGTCAAGATCAAGTTAACAAAAACTTCATATTCTGAGAATTCCTCTAAGAGATTATGCTAATTACCTTTAACTTTGTTGCAGAATGGGCAAGCCTCGTATTGATAGAGAACCACATCCTTGGGTGCGAACGACAAACGAGGTAGGTCATTAACCACATCATGAACCGAAGATGAAGAGGCCACAGAGAAGCACCGACCATTCCCTGCAACATTCCGAACAAAAGAAGGACAATACAAGCCAAATGGGTTCTTTCCTTGCGAGAAACACCGAATATCAGATCCAATGGACGTTCTGTGAACCGCCGATGGATGGAGTAGCCGCCGATCAGCGGTGACAGTGGCGGTGTTGGCCTCACCGCTTACAATCCGGCTGAGTACGCGAACTCCATTAATCCTCCTCATGGCGACCGAGATTTCTCTGGAAGTTGAACTCTTTTGCAAGGTTTTACAAGGGTTTGGGGGAAGAGAAATTAGTATGATTTCAGCCGTCGATGTAAGGAGAGTGTAGAGGATTACGGTAGCCCGGGAAGCAGTAGATCACAACCCCCCCCCCCCCCCCCCC